GCAGAAATTAATCAGAAGAGACAAGGCAGGCCATTACATACTGGTAAAGGGAACAATCCAACAAGAATAAATATATATGTCCCAAATGTCAGTGCACCTAATTACATAAACAAAACAAAACTTCCTGACATTAAATCCCAGAGAGACCCCAAAACATAATAATAGAGGTTGATTTTAATAAACCCTTATCACTGATAGATCATCAAAGAATAAAATCAATTAAGATATTTCAAACGTAAATCAAATGGACCTAATAGACATCAATATTTCACTCGAAAACATCTGAGTTGTTTTTCAATAACCTTGTCCAAAATAGGCCATATTCTGGGTCACAATGTAAGTGTTAGCCAAATACAAAAAAAAATCAATATAATCCCATTCCTCTTAATGGGATTGAAATTAAAAATCAACAACAAGAAAAATAATAGAAATCACATAAATACATGGAGGTCAAATAGTACTCTTTAAATGAAGAATGGATCACGGAAGAAATGAGAAAAGAAATCAAGAAATTCTTAGAAACAAATGATAACAGAGATACAACATATTAAAATCTCTGGAACAATATGAAAGTTGTTCTCAGAAGAAAATTTATAGCATTAAGTGCCTACATTAAAAAATAAGACGATGCCAAGTAAATAAGCTTATGCTCCACCTTAAGGTTTTAGGAAAGGAAGAATAAACTAATTCCAAAATCAGTAGAAGACAGTAAATAATAAGAATCAAACCAGAAATTAAAGAAATTGAGAATAAAAAACAATACACAGGATCAGTGTAACACAGAGTTGGTTCTTCAAAAAGATAAATAATATTGACAAATCCTTAGCCAACTAGCCAAAAGAAAGAGAGGAAAGACACAAATAAAATCAAAATTAGAGATGGAAAAGGAGATATCACCACAAACTTCTGAAACCCAGAGGATCATTAGAAACTATTTTGAAAATTAATAAACTGGAAAATCTAGAAGACACTGAGAAATTTCTAGACACATATGATTTTCCCAAATTGAACCAGGAAGATACAGAAAACCTAAACCGACCAACATCAAGTAATGGAATTGAAATAGTCATCAAAAGCCTTCCAACAAAGAAAATCCCAAGACCAGATGGATTCTCAGCAGAATTCTTCCAAACCTATAAGGAAGAACTAACACCAGCATTTCTCAAATTATCGCATGAAATTTAAAGGGAGGGAACACTCCCCAAATCTTCCTATGAAGCTAGTGTAACTCTGATACCAAAACCAGATAAAGATACATCAAATAAAAAAAAAAAAAAAACTTGGCTCCAGAGGCTGAGGCAGGAGATCGCCAGTTCAAAGCCAGCCTTAGCAAGGTAGTAAGCCCTAAGCAATTCAGTGAGACCCTGTCTCTAATAAAATACAAAAAGGGGTTGGGGATGTGTGGCTCAGTGGTTAAGTTCTCCTGGGTTCAATTCCCCGGTAGCAAAAAAAAAGGAAAAGAAAGGAAAGGCCATGTAGGCCCCAATGAGAGGGTGATCAGTTTGGAAGAGAGAGAAAATAAATTGTGTTTATTTAATGATCCAATCTACTAATTTTGTTATGGCTACCCACCTAAGACATGGTGCCACCAGGTCAGGTACGAAACAGAATTTTGAGTAGACCTTTTAAATTTTATCTCAAATATTTTGTAAAAATTTTTTGGTCCTTCACTGAGTCCAAACAACTGCACAAGAATACTGTTAGGTGGGTCTGTGGCCTGGATTGAGTGTTCCTGCAGAGAACACCTTAAGGTGGAGGTAGGCTGGGGAAGCCACTGGTTCTCCAAGTACAGTTCTGAGGAGGTACAGGTAGGAGGGTAGGGAACAACCCTTCATCCAGACTCTCAGCCTTTTTTTTTTTTCAATCCTTGCAATTCTAGCTGCTCTTTACTTTTTTTCTTTTTCTTTTTCTTTTTTTGCATGTAATAGAATTTTATTTATTGTATAGAATTTTTATTATTTTCTTAGGGAAAGGGATGGGGGTGGGTAAAAGTGAACAAAGATAGTCGAAATGTACAAAGGCTTGGTTAGGGAAGAGGAATAAGTCTGATTTTTTTTTTAGATCAATTGTATAGAATTGTGTCTGTAGCTAATAATTGAGTATTCTATATTTAAATTTTGTTGAGAGTAAATTTCAAATGTTCTGATCACAAAAATTGTTGAAAATTTGAAGCTCTGGGATTGGAAATGTAAAGCACATTGAAATTGTAGCCCTGGACCTTTCACTTTATCTGTGTTCGTCAGTGAATATGAAGTTGAAGTCATCAACTCAGAAGTAAGGTTGTTGAGTTTTTAAATATATTTATTTATCTTTTTTTAGTTGTAGTTGGACCCAATACCTTTATTTCATTCATTTATTTTTATGTGGTGCTGATGATCAAACTCAGGGCCCTGAGCATGCTAGGCAAGCGCTCTACTGCTGAGCCACAACCCCAGCCCCCCAATTGTTGAGTTTTTTAACCACAGGTTGTCTGAGCTGTGTGGCCTTGGGGGAACTGCCACACCTCTTTACCTGTTGTCTGTGGAGGTGGACCATGACCTTCTGCTTCTGCCCGGGGCTGAACTGATTGCTGTTTCTCTGTGATGCCCACCTTCCTGCCTCTCCTCTTCTTCCTTGGCTGCCTCCTCTCCTCTGCTCAGCTCCCTAATGTTGAGTTGAGGGTCCTGGGGCTCCACCCTCACCCTCTATCCACATTCTCTGTCCAAGTGAGTTAACTGGTCTCACTTTAAATATCCCACCATCATTGGTGCCACTTCATCTTCATCTGCTGCTCTGGTCTCTTCCCTGGATTCCAGAGTCATAAATCTATCGGTGGACTTAGCCTCTCCATCAAATCTAGAATGCAATTCTCAGTTTTCCTGTGTCTGAGCCTAAACTCTTGACTTCTGCCCTCATCTGACCCACTAGACCCTCTTCCTGGTACTCCCTGGGTTAGGCCTTTCTCTCTCATCCTCAAAGTTATTTTTTTCACACCTGCAGCACCTGGTCACAGGCACTCCTGTCCCCTGCCACACTGTGAGGACCTCCTGAGGGTCCTCCATCTTCAGATTCTACTTCTCAACAGTCTGTCTTCCATTCAGGAGCCAGAAGATGCTGTGATCATGTGAATCAGGACCCTGCCCTGTGGTGTCAGCTATCTGACCCCTCCTAAGCAGAAAAGGGCAGTAAGAGGTCATGTGAGACCATGTGCCTCAAAGGCCCAGTTTGTAAACTTTTTGCAACTTCAAGCTCTGACCTAGCATCACCTTAATGTCCCATCTTTCCCAACTTGAAAAAGCAAGGGTAGAAGCTGAGGTGGACCCCAGCCTCCTAACTCCCAGCTTCCACCAGAAAGATGACTGGGTAGTTCTGGGGACAGAAAATACCAGGGCCTGTGGGTGTGATAGGGGAAGAAAGCAGGGGGATGTTTCCTGCTTGCTTCCTCTGCCAGCCATGCCCAAATCCTCATGGCCGCTCTAATCTACCCTGTTTAATGAAACCCAAGCCGGCTCAGGTCCCCCTCCACAAGCCTGCTAATCTCTGCAGCTGGATAGGCTCACCACCTGTCTCCAAGACACTATTTGCTCTTTCGGCATCAGAGAGCCAAATCCCATCCTCAAACGGGTATGATGGTAAAGTATATTTTGGCCTCATCTTGGCCTTATGAGATGGGGAAAGTCAAATACAGACAACCTTACCCAGTGTGAGTCAGCTCCAGGGTCAGTGCTTCAGACCCAAGAGCCCAGGAAACCTTTGCAAGTGACCACAGGAACTCCATAGTGCTCTATCCTTGGGTATAAGAGACCCTATGGGAGCTGTAGGGTATAAACCAGTCTTGTCCCTTTCCTCCTTAGTGTGGGCTGGTAGTTTTGCATCATTCTGGATGCAAATCTGGATGCTGACATACTCCCTTTGAGCAAATCAGTTCAGTCCTTAAGATCTCTACTTCCTCATCTGCAAAATGGGGCTTATGCGAAATGTATCTTCATACATACAACAACAATCAGGGGCTGTTGTATGTTTGCTAATGTTCAGGATCTGCTGGGGCTTGATTCCTTCCTGCCTAACAGAGCTTTCTTCTCCTTTGTTCTAGTCCATCTGGGGCTCACTCAACCTCTGACCCTGTCACCCTCACTCATGGGCTTTGCAGCAGGGTCTTGCCAGGAGAAAGCCAGGGAAACCCTTAGCAGCGGAAATTTTAAAAGACTGATGGCCAGGAAAGAGCGAGAGACAGAAAGGGGGCAAGAGACATCAAGAATCAAAGAAAAATTGACAGAGAGAGACGCAGGGAGACAGAAAGAGAGAGATTTTGGAGAAAGACAGCAAGCCAGAGACAGGAACAAAGAGACAACGAGACAGGGAGGAGAGGAGAGGAGAGGAGAAGAGGGAAGGGGAAAAGAGGGGAGGGGAAGGGAGGAGAAAGGGAGAATGTGTGCCAGAGACAGAGTCTGGAGTCCATGCAACTCCAAGTCAAGCAAACAGAAAAGAAACAAATCCAGGGAGTCAGCGAGGGAGGGAGAAATGTGGAAAGAGCGGGTTCCACCATCCCCCATGCTCCGGAGGGGTCTCCGCCCTCGCCCTCAGGGTGGTTTCCCATCCTTCCCCGGAATCCTTAAATCCTCTCTCGCTGAGGGCTCTGGGCATCTGTCACAGACTTGTCCTGAACCGACAGCTGCTGGTGCAGGTGAGAGTGGCCACAAAGGGGTCCTGGGTGTAATACTGGGGAGGAATCCGGAAGAAGATGGGATGTCGGGCAGGGACAGAATTGGAGGGGTGACGACAGTGTTTGGGCAAGAGGGTTCATAATCTGGGTGGAGGCAAGGAGGAGAACTGGGAAGACTGGCTGAGTTGATTGCCCAACTGGCTCAAACAAGATCCCTTGTGCGCCTTTCCTTTGTGTAGGGCCTGGGGCTCCCTCCCTTTTCCCGGACCCTGGGTGTGTTCTTCTTCCAGGTCTCTAAGCTTTCTTCTGTGCGAACGTGTACTCTCTTCAGTCTTTTTCTTCCACAGTCCCTGAGCCAATGGCGCGGCCCCGGAGCGCTGGGGAGTCACTGCTGCTGGCGCTGCTGCCGCCGCTGGCTTGGTTGGCGCAGGCGGGCCTGGCGCGCGCCGCAGGGTCGGTGCGCCTGGCAGGCGGGCTCACGCTGGGTGGCCTGTTTCCTGTGCACGCGAGGGGCGCAGCCGGCAGGGCGTGCGGTCAGCTGAAGAAGGAGCAGGGCGTACACCGGCTCGAAGCCATGCTGTATGCGCTGGATCGCGTGAACGCTGACCCGGAGTTGTTGCCTGGCGTGCGCCTGGGCGCGCGGTTGCTGGATACCTGCTCTCGGGACACGTACGCCCTGGAGCAGGCGCTGAGCTTCGTGCAGGCGCTGATCCAAGGCCGTGGCGACGGCGAGGAGGCGAGCGTGCGCTGCCCTGGGGGCGTCCCTCCGCTGCGAGCTGCGCCCCCGGAGCGAGTGGTGGCTGTCGTGGGAGCTTCGGCAAGCTCGGTCTCTATCATGGTTGCCAATGTCCTGCGCCTGTTTGCGGTGAGGGCCACGGGACCAGTTCTGTTCCCAGCCTCTGTCTCCCATTCTCACCTTTGGGGTGGCTGATGCCTTTCTTCCCTTAACTTCTTTCTGGAGGATTCTCTGCTTTAATCCTTCTAGTTCACACAGATTCAAAAGCTGTTTCAAAGAAACACTGCCTGTTGGGACAGCCCCAGGCCAGCATCAGATCACACATCCCCTCCAGCTCCTCTGTGTGAATTAAGGACTGACAAGTATGCCCCTTCCTCCAGAGGATGCAGCCTGCTGCCTTGGGTCAAATTGGCTAGATGAAGGCAGCTGGACTTCAGTCCCCACTTGCTTCAGAGTCCTTGTTTTGTGCTCACCCTGCACATCTGTGGAAGGTATTCCTGCCTTCTGGGCCTATTGGAGCGCTCTGGTAATGGGGAGCCTTGTGTATGCCCTTCTTGCAGAGGAGCAACTGGGACATAGCCCTTAGCTATCCAGAGGGATGGATAGGCCTGAAAGGTCTAGCACCTTTCTCCTCTTGTTTGATCATTATTTAAATTTGATTTCAAAAGTCTGCCTTTAATCCTCTTTCAAGGAGCCTGTGACTGTTCATCTGCAGTGCCCTGCCATGCTAGGCCATGTGGGCCTGGACTGGCCCTGCATTGTCATCTTTAGGGGAACTGTCCTCTGCAAGGGGCAGTATGTTCCCTGTAGTTCTGGGGGACAGAGATTGGGGCCATAGAAATCAGGGATCTGGGGGCCTTTGGCATCAGAATTTGGGGGCTTTCTTTAGTAGCCATCCTCTGGGGATTATGGGATGGTTTTACTAGGGATCTGTGCAGGGAGGAGGGCTTTGTCCTTCCATGTTTCTGTGAGGGGAGGAAGGAAGGTTTGCTTCTACCTGCCTAGAGGAGGAGACTTCTGTATCTTGAGAGTTTTTGGTTCTGCCCAAGGGAGTGTCTATTTCTACCATGCTGGGACTCTTGTCATTTGCTTACATTAAATCCCCCCCCCCACTTTGGATGGCAGTTTTGATGTAGAGCATACAGACACACCTTCTCTTCCACATGGAGAAGTTGTGTGGCTACCCAGGATTTTTTTCCCCTCTGTGTCCCTGTGGACCTTTGTGGCTATCCCCAACCCTGCCTGGTGCTCTGGTTTCTTTTCTTTTCCCTTTCCTTTTTTTTCTTCCTTCCCCTCTTTCTTTCTTTTTGTGGCATTGGGGATGGAACTCAAGTCCTCATGTATACGAGGCAAACGCTCTACCACTGAGCTATGTCCCCAGCCCTTTTATTTTATTGTGAGATGAGGTCTCCCAGAGTTGCCCAGCTGGCCTCCAACTTTTGAGCCTCGCTTCAGCCTCCTGACTACCTGGGATTATAGGTGTGGGCCACTGTACCTGCTGGTGCTCTAGTCCCCCATCCCCTTCCCCTCTAGGTCAAGTGCAGAGATCTCAAACTCAAGGACCTTCAGGGGTCATGTGGGGGCTGTAGTTGAGAGAAGCAGGACCGGCTGTGCCTAGGGCCCTCTGCTGCCAGCTCAGCCCAAGACTGAGGTTTGGCAGCAACTTCCTATTTTCAGACACCCTCTCTGCTTGCTTGAAGTTCACAAATAAATAAATAAATAAAATTAAAAATAAAATTTAAAAAATTGTAACCGTGGACCAAAGACTGTTTTGCAATTCTGGTCTAAAAGACATGCTGAGGTATTTTGAGCTTATTCCAAAGCCACATTACCGTGGTCTCAGGCATTTGAAATTAACTTCCAGAAGAGGGTTTAATCTGTATGGGAACATTGTCCTGAAGGTAGTATTGAGGAGTTCCCAGGGGGCCTCTCTCTGCCCCATTTCTCTGATTCCTCTTTCTTATTTTTCTGTCTCCTTGTCCCTCCCAAATCTGTTCTCACTCTCTTTGTCTCTCTCCTTCCCTTCCTTCCTGCCCGTCCTTCCCTCTTTCCCTGTCTGTTCTCATCCTCACTCTCCATTTCCCCTTCCTGTACTGTCTTCCCACCCCACACTTTCTGTCCTACTTTAAACAGCCCTTCCTTCCAGAACCTCCTCTTTCCTGACCTCCACACAACTCTGTCTTGTTCCTGCCCTTCCCAGGTGTGTCTTTTTTCTTGTTCCCTCACTCTCCTGAGTGCATTTTTTTTAATGTGGTCTGGCTCCCCACTTTCAGCCAGCCACTCTCTCCTTATTTCTGTAGCTGTCTGCCTCCTGGCTCCCAGCTCCTTTCATACTTGCTCCCCAGGTCCCACACTCTTGCCCCTCCTGAATGGGCTCAGCTGGCCCTGTAATCCCTGCTATTAATCGCTCTAATGCACTCAGATAAAGCCCAGTTTCAAATGAGCCCTCTGTTAGGCTGGACACAGTTGAATCAAACAGCCCCCTCCAGCCCCTGTCTGTTTTGACCCTCCTGTGACTGCCACCTGCACAGACCACCCCTTTGTGGGAATTTTAAAAAATGCTTTCCTCTGTGGCTGACAAGGATGCCCCTTTCCCCAGGTAGGTGCAGCTGTGTGCAGCACCTGGATTGGTTGCAGGTTGGATTTCACCCTCCAATTCACCTGGCTCCCATATCCATGTTGAGGACAGAGCCTGCACACTGTCTACGGGATCCTGCTCAAATCTCTGAGCCCTCTTACCTTTCATATTGCATCAGGTCCAGTGACAAAATTTAGCCCTTGCCCCATACCTTCTGGCCTCTCTTGGTGGACCTCAGCTCCCTACCTCAAACTTTCCCTATGCTACCAGTGTCCCCACTGGCCTCCAGAGCCCTTCCCAAACTGTGTCCCATGCATGTCCTGAGTCCCCATTACCCTCCCTCCCTAGGGTTACTGACCTTCATCCACAGCGCAGCTGTCCTTCCTGCCTCCAGATACCCCAGATAAGCTACGCCTCCACGGCGCCAGAGCTCAGCGACTCCACACGCTTCGACTTCTTCTCCCGAGTGGTACCACCCGACTCCTACCAGGCCCAGGCTATGGTGGACATTGTGCGGGCACTGGGATGGAACTATGTGTCTACTTTGGCCTCTGAAGGCAACTATGGCGAGAGCGGTGTTGAGGCCTTTGTGCAGATTTCCAGGGAGGCTGGTGAGCTGGGGGCAGGGAGGTCTCAGGCATCAGGATGTCTATAGAGGTCTGAGCCAAGGGCCATCATATGGGGAACTGGGTCCCTGGTGGGGACTTGGCTGTGGTTACCCTGGAGGGCACTCCAGGTGGGTAGGTGTCCTTGTCCTTTGTAGGACTCAGCATCTGCCTTGTGACCTGCTAGGGAGGGCCCAGACAAGATTTCACCCCCCCAGACCCCTCAGCCAGGCCCCTGGGTGCTGTGTATGCCACATACACAGTCATATGCAGAGGTAGCCAGGTGGGTGTGTGGGTGGGTGGGGTAAGAGCTGACTTTGGCATCCCCGACACCCAGGGGGGGTCTGTATTGCCCAGTCCATCAAGATTCCCAGGGAACCAAAGCCAGGAGAATTCAACAAGGTGATCAGGAGACTCATGGAGACACCCAACGCACGAGGGATCATCATCTTTGCCAATGAGGATGACATCAGGTGGGATGGGTGGCACATGCATCACTGTTTTTCAGGACCCCTCCTGAGGGTCCTGCCCCTTGTTCTTATTCATCCCCTGCCACTCAGGCCCTCCTTCCCTTCCCTTTCATTTTATATCCAACCCTCTCCATGCTTTTTCTGCTATCATCTCTGAGTCTGGTGTCCCCAGAGATGAATAAGGCTTGGTCTGGGTAGAGATGTGCAAAGCTTCATAGAAAAATATGTCTGTTTTTACCATTCACCATGGGAGAGAGAACTTGTAGACAGACTTAAATACAGAAAATGAGCTATCAAGGACAGAGCTCTGGGGGCAGGAAATCACAGACCAGACCCTGAAACCTGCATGGCCCAGTGCCAGCAGGGGAGTCTTCCTTCAGCCTAGGAGGCTGGAGGTGATATTGGTGGAAGCATTAGTGGAGGGGATTAGCTTCTGTCTGGCCTTGATTTTCTCCTGGAAAATTTGTAAAGAAAAGAGGTCCAGTTAGCACAGTTTTGGAGGCTTAAAGTACAAACAGCATGGTACCAGGTCTGGTGAGGGTCCCCTGTGCTGCATCACATTTTGGCAGATGGCTAAGAACGAGAGAGAGAGAGAGAGAGAGAGAGAGATATTACATGGTGAGATAGGAAGCCAAACCGAGGGGAGGAGCCAGGATTACTCTTTTCTAATAACCACTCTCAAAAATAACCAGTGTCCCAAGAGAACTACTCAATTCCTCCTGAGGGTGAAGCCCCCAATAATCCAGTGATTTTGAACTAGGCCCCCTCTAAAAGTTCCCACCACATCCCAACTTTGCCACACTGGGGACCAGGCTTCTAACACATGAAGTCTCTGGGGACACATTCAAACCATACCCAAACCATAGCACCCTCTGGGGCCAGTGTGAAGTGGATTATAAGGCGCAGAGCCAGTGGGCAGTGTGGGAAGCCCAGGGGAAGTATCCTGAATACCCTGCACCCTATTTTCCCTGATTAAACAAGGGCCCAGTGAGTTACATGGAGCAGGATAGAGAGAAGGGAATGTGACAAGGGTTAAGATGGACGGGGGTGCTGGGCCCTCGCTTACCCCCAGCTCTGTTTCTACCAGGAGGGTCCTGGAGGCAGCACGCCAGGCCAACCTGACTGGGCACTTCTTGTGGGTTGGCTCAGACAGCTGGGGATCCAAGATCGCACCCATTCTGAACCTAGAGGATGTGGCTGTGGGGGCTATCACTATCCTGCCCAAAAGGGCCTCCATTGACGGTGAGTCCAGGGATGCTGCGTCCTCCCCATCATCCCTTCTCGGTGACACTCATTACTCAAATCTGTATAGTAGGTTCCATAATCAGATCCTGTTAGGATTCCCAGATCCTATGATTCTGAGATTCTGTGACTATATCCTTCTAAGCAGTGTTTGAATGAGATGGTGTATGAGGAAAGGAACATACCACTCTTTGTACAGGGTGAAGAATTCTGCTTTTTTTTTTTTTAATTTGGTGTATGTACTTTTGGTTTTACCAGATATTCTAAATTGAGGGATGGTGAGGATGCGGAATGTACTGTCCTGTTGATCACAGTGATGAGGCCTGCCGCCACACCCCCTCACATCCCATCTGTGAATATTTGGATGAATCCAGCAGGGATGGTTCACTTTACAACAAGGTTGCTTATTTCCCCAAAGAATGAATTGAAGATGTCTCAGTGATGTGCTTTAAGGCTATATTATGAAACCCAGCCTCTGATGAAGGATGAGCCCTGCTTTCCAGAGGCTACTGAATTTTTGAAAGTGTACATCTTTTCACCCTTTCTTTTACCTAGCATGCAGTTAGTTGCAAGTGACAAATTGGACTGAGAGTGGTTTTAGCAAGAAAGGCATTTCATCACAAGAAATCTGAAAATAGTGATTTCATATGTAACGCATGAGTCAATAGTGTTCTCAAAACCCTGGGCTCTGTTTACCTTTCCATTACACCCTCCTCTGTGGTTACTTTATGTCTTTGTGCTTTTGGCTTCATATTCACAATATAGATTCTGAAGGTCCACCCATTACATATTCACAGCATCATCCTAACCTAGAAAGAAGGGGCAGGGATAAAATCTTTCAAGAGGTGAGGCTCTGAGTTTGTATCAGTATGCAAATTCTACCCTGGAAGCTCCAGGGGTTTTGAATTCACAGTCTAGAACTTGGTCACATGGTCACTCCTGGATGCAAAGTGAGCAAGTGGTAAAGGGACACAGGAGAACCATGACTGGTTTAGTGGTCACCGCTCTCCTTTCTCTTTTCCTCGCTCTTAGGATTTGACCAATACTTTATGACTCGCTCCCTGGAGAACAACCGCAGGAATATCTGGTTTGCTGAGTTCTGGGAAGAAAATTTTAACTGCAAACTGACCAGTTCAGGTAGCCAGTCAGATGATACCACCCGCAAATGCACAGGTGAGAGCTGCCCAGGCAGGACTGGGAGGGTGATGAGGAAGAAGGTGGGAGGCCAGGGCTGGTGCATGGGAGCCAGGCACACTTCCTCTGGGCATCCCTAGGACAGGTGAAGAACGCATCGGCCAGGACTCTGCCTACGAGCAGGAGGGGAAGGTGCAGTTTGTGATTGATGCCGTGTACGCCATTGCCCACGCCCTCCACAGCATGCACCAGGCACTGTGCCCTGGGCATATAGGCCTGTGCCCAGCAATGGAACCCACTGATGGCCGGACGCTGCTGCAGTATATTCGAGCTGTCCGCTTTAATGGTGAGTGGGAGCCCGAGCCCTTCAATAGTGAAGGAAGCCAGCTGAGATGAAGTTCTCTTCAGGGTTGGGGACAACTCAGGATGGAGGGAATGGAAGAGGCAGAATGGTAGAGTGGAGTACTGAAGAGACTAGAGACTTGAACCAAGTACTAGTCCCCACTTTTTAACCATTCTCCTTCCCTAGGCTTTAGCACCCTCTGCCCCAGTTTGCAAAATTCAGATGTTGGAGAATTTATCATGCGTTCTGCTGGGAACCTTCAGTTGGGTTGTGTAAAACCCTCCCCTCCATTACACAGAACTCAGAGACTTTTGGAGTCGTGGGCCTTAAATGCTGCCCCAGCTAGGCTCTGAGCTGCTTGAGCATAAGGCATGAATCTGACATGTCCCCTGGAGCCAGCAAAGGGCTTGGCACATGTTCAGGGCTCCAAATAATGACTGTGAATAGACCCCAGTGGACTCAAGCTGTGTGTGGTCTACAGGTAGAAAGATACTTCTGTTCAATTACTGTCCTTCATAAAATCAAAAACTCTGTTCCTCCACCAAATATTTACTGACCGTCTTTTCTCTGCCATGCTCCTTGCTAAGGAATTCAACTTCATTTTCCTCCAGACCAGCTCTACAAGCTGGTAGAACAAGCTTCTGAAAGAAGTAAAGCTGATTGTTCACATTGGGACCAATTTCATGGTGTTACTCAGACTTTGTACAAGTCATCCATCAGTCCAGATAGACACACTTTTTCTTTTCTTTTTAGATTATGGTAAAATAATATAACAAAATTTACTGCCTTCATCATTTTTAAATGTACAGTTTAGTAACAAAATATATCACATTGTTGGCAACCATAGTCACCCTCCATCTCCAAGAACCCTTTTCATCTTGCAAAAGTGAAACTCCATACCTGCTAAACAACAGCTCCTCATTGCCTGTCCTCTCCCCCCACAACCACTGTACTATTTTGTTTCTGAATTTGACTACAGTAGCTACCTCATATCAGTGGAATCACAAACGTATTTTTGCATTTGGCTTCATTTAGCATAATGTTCCCAGGTAATATAATGTTCCCTGTTGAAGCATGTATCCAATGTCCTTCCTTTTTCAGGATGAATAATATTCCATTGTATGTATAGACCTGTTTCGTGTATCCAATTCACTCATCTCCAGACATTGGATTTCTTCCATTTTTTGGATATTGTGGGATAGGGCTGCTGTGAACATGGATGGACAAATAGCTCTTCGATTCCCTGCTTTGCATTTCTGGGGTACATACCCAGGAATGAAATTGCTGGATCACATGCTAATTCTATTTTTAATTTTTTTTGAAGAATTACCATACTGTTTTCCATTGTGGCTGCATCAATTTTCATTCCCATCAAAAGTGCACAAGGGTTCCACTTTCTACACATCCTTACTAACACTTGTTATTTTCTGTTTCTTAGTAGTAGCCATCCTAATGGGCATGAACTAGCATCTTGTGTTTTTATGCTGCTTGGATCCAACACAGGGTCTTGAAAGTGCTGGGCAAGCACTCTACCACCGAGCTATGCCCCAAACCCCTTGTGGTGGTTTTAATGTGAATTTCCTTGATTAGTGACGTTGTGCGTCTTCTAGGATCTTGTGAAGCTCTTTCTTCATCCTGGCCGGCCCTCAAGGACTCGCCAGGAGGCGGAATTTCATGGGCTGGAGAACCAGCTAAGGATGACAGCTTGTCTCTCCAGGCAGCGCGGGAACCCCAGTGATGTTCAATGAGAATGGAGATGCGCCCGGGCGATACGACATCTTCCAGTACCAGGCAACAAATGGCAGTGCCAGCAGTGGCGGGTACCAGGCTGTGGGCCAATGGGCAGAGGTCCTCAGGCTGGACGTAAGTGGCGCAGACCAAGGTCTGGGAGTAGGTGATGGGCCCTTGATTCCTGGCGGTAGAGGTCACTGGCCTGTTTCATCTATCCAGGTGGAAGCCCTGCAGTGGTCAGGCGACCCACGCGAGGTTCCCATTTCCCAATGCAGCCTCCCCTGTGTGCCGGGTGAGCGTAAAAAGATGGTGAAGGGTGTTCCCTGTTGTTGGCACTGCGAGGCCTGCGATGGGTACCGCTTCCAGGTGGATGAGTTCACCTGTGAGGCCTGTCCCGGGGACATGAGGCCCACGCCCAATCACACCGGCTGCCGCCCCACGCCCGTGGTGCGCCTGACCTGGTCCTCCCCTTGGGCTGCCCCGCCCCTCCTCCTGGCGGTGCTGGGGATCATGGCCACCACCACGGTGGTGGCCACCTTTGTACGGCACAACAACACCCCCATCGTCCGCGCTTCTGGCCGCGAGCTCAGCTACGTGCTCCTCACCGGTATCTTCCTCATCTATGCCATCACCTTCCTCATGGTGGCAGAGCCAGGGGACGCCGTCTGTGCCGCCCGCAGGCTCTTCCTGGGCCTGGGCACCACTCTCAGCTACTCCGCCTTGCTCACCAAGACCAACCGCATCTACCGGATCTTTGAGCAAGGGAAGCGCTCGGTCACACCCCCGCCTTTCATCAGCCCCACCTCGCAGCTCCTCATCACCTTCAGCCTCACCTCCCTGCAGGTGGGTCCTCAGGCCTTCACCCCTGTGACAGGGAGGATGCACTGGGGGTTGGGCTGCGGTCTGTCCTTAACCTTAAAAAAAAAAAATCAGAGAAATGGTGTTTCTAGAATCACTCTTTTCCTTTGGCTCCAGTTTCAAAAACAAATAAAAAGCTGGGGGGAGTGACACGTGCCCGTAATCCCAGAGAGTTGGGAGGCTGAGACCGGAGGATCGCAAGTTCAAGGCTAGACTCAGCAATTTAGTGAGGTCCTAAGCAACTTAGTGAGATCATGTCTCAAAATAAAAAAATCGAAAGGGACCAGGGCTGGAGCTCACTGGTAAAGCACCCCTGGATTAAATCCCCAGTACAAAAAAAAAAAAGTAATTAAATAGTTAAAAACCACAAGGGGTAGAGCCCTACTCTGAGTATTCTAAATGAAAACAACTCATTTTACTGCTCAGTCTTGGAAGAAAAAATGGGTCAGTAAGGTGAGGAGACTGAGCATCCAGCTCTTTTACTGAAGAACAATGCCATGATTTTGATAAATTGAATGTGCTCTTCCAGAGTTTGGCTCACATTATGAAAATAGGGTAAAAACATACATGACTGATTTTCCCGAAACAAAGACTGTGTTTCCTAAAGGCAGTTACTTCTGCTCAGTTCACTGGGGTGCTAGAAAAGAGAGGCCCAGGGACCAGTGTTTTACTGTGGAGCAAAATATTTAATTCCATTAAATGGCTGGTATTTCAAGATGTAATGAGCATTAAAAATGGAGTTCCCATGGGGTTTTCCCTGAGACAGTTATATTGCAGCACTGGGCATGACTCTCCTCATCTGGAAAGCCTTGGATACTTCCTGAGCAGAGGCACGTGGCTTGGGGAGGTGGATCAGGTGCGACATGGCAGACCCAGCCAGGCTCTGTGTTACCTCACTCAGCTTGTTTTGACATGACATATTCTCTACTGCAGGGGAGCCCTTCTCCCTACACAGCTCTGCATATATCATGTTCATTTCCACCCATGGCCTTGGTTAATGTAATTCTCTATGCCTTGAGGGTGTGCCTGTCTTCTTCCAGATCACACACCTGGAGCTTCCCCTCCTCAGTCCATGATTCCCCTCATCCACAGGATAGAGATGCTTACACTACATTCAGTGTCCCCCCAGACCCCAGGATCATTTGCCTAGTTTCACCTCTTTGGACTCCCCACATTACATCCCCATTTCTAGAAACAATAGATTTTTTAAAAGAGCCACTCCTTCAGCTTCACTAGGCATTTCTACCAATAAGATGGATGTAAAATAGTATCTAATTGTTCCTTTAATTTGCCTACACCTAATTACCAGTACACTGGGCCTTTGGAATTTCCTCTTCTGTGATTTGCCTGTTCCTATCCATTGCTTATTTTCTATTATTTTGTAGGACATCCATATAAGTAAGTACAGGGTGAAGATTTGTTATGAATTATATGGATTGCAAACCTGGTAAGGGTTTGTTTTGGTTGCAATTCCTGTGCATCACCAGCCTTGGGTTTTTGATGTGATCCCCACCCCCACCAAAAGCCATGTTCTAAGAGGAATATCCACGTTGCTTTCCTGGACAGGATCTGGATTTTATTAGCCCCTTGTTTATGGAGTTGCTGCCATTGAGATAATCACAGAAAGGTGTTCCTTCTGAGTGGACAAATTATTAGAAAGTGTCCCTTCTCCTGGGATGCACAGCATGACATTGGAGTGTTAGCTAGGTTTCAGCCCCACCTGCCCATCTGATCAGGCACTCTTGTGTAGTGAACAGCCTGCATGAACATATGCACAGCCTCCCCAAGGTCTCACCTTTATGCAGCATCTTAGCTTCTGCTCCTTAGCAGCCATTGGCTCAAGGTCATACCTCCTGCCAACATGAAGGAATTGAAATTCCTTGTTCTGACTCTGATACTATCCAAGGCACTTCAGCATCAGCTCACCTTCTTACCATTCTCTTGCCTGTGATGAGCCTGTATTTTGAGGTATGCATTCATACATAATTTCATGATATTTTGTCCAATAGTTCTCTGGATTTGGAGAAGAAAGTGGGTCCTCAGGAATTAAGTTTATCCTGTTGCTAGATGTGGTCAAGCTAGTATTTTTACATCTGTGGAATGGAGATAATGCCTATGTGGGACCTGTGAGGAAAGAATACCTCTTTTGGGCCTGGTCCTAATTGGTAACACCTGCACCAGCTGCTCCCCCTCTAAGATGGCACTGTGTCCTAACAACAGATTATGAGGTCCATTCTGTAAATGGAGAAACTGAGGCTGAGAAAGATGATGTGTTCAGTACTTTGAAGGAACTCAAGTAAATGGCATTGATAATGGTTAGAGAATGTCAAGTTGCCCCTTACCCAACACATACCCTCATATAGCCCTTCTTTTGGTATGTCCCCTCCTGGACTGCTCTCTCTTCTTCATGGTGGTTTTCTTGTGCCTAAGCATCTACTCAGTAGTCAGGAACTTCAAAGGAATACTAACCTGCCTAAGACCTAGGTTGGGGACTGGGCCAGGTGTGTCTGATGGAGGGGTGTCCCTGACCCTGTGTTGGCAGGTGGTGGGTGTGATAGCATGGCTGGGGGCCCAGCCCCCACACAGCATTATTGACTACGAGGAACAGCGGACGGTGGACCCGGAGCAGGCCAGAGGGGTGCTCAAGTGTGACATGTCGGATCTGTCTCTCATCGGCTGCCTGGGCTACAGCCTCCTGCTCATGGTCACGTGCACTGTGTATGCCATCAAGGCTCGCGGTGTGCCTGAGACCTTCAACGAGGCCAAGCCCATTGGCTTCACCATGTACACCACCTGCATCATCTGGCTGGCTTTTGTGCCTATCTTCTTTGGCACTGCCCAGTCAGCTGAAAAGGTAATCAGGCTCCCCTAGTAGATTTTGCTGTCTTGTTTGTTTCCTGTCAATTGAAGGGCTTGACTGTGCCAAGAGTTGGGCCCCCCATCTGGATGTTTCATGATTTGAATGATTTCTTGGTTGATTCATTCATGTACTTAAATATTTACTCATTAGTTTTTAAAATATCCCTGTGCTTGTTCATTCAGCCATCCCTCTCTTGTTCATCCATTCTTCTAACACTCTTCTTAACTACATTCTTCCTAACTTATTTTTTTATTCCGTTTCTTCATGCACTTTATACCACTTAACACAATCTAATGGTCCATTTCCTTGATCATTGATTCATAAATTTGGTAGAATCTTTGTTCACCTGTGTTACCCATCTACTTGTCCATTTGATCCTTTATGTATGCCCTATTTATTCATTCATTTACATATTTGGAACATGCTGTTTCCTTCATTAACATATTCAAGCCCTTTTTAGGCATAGGGACCATTTTCCCAAGTGTGTCTCTAGTCTTAACAACCCACTCAGCCTGCTCATTCACCTTCCTTCCTGCTACACCAGAGCCACACTCTGCCTGCCAACTTCTTAATGCCACTGGCCTGTGCTTCTGCTGCCATCCTGTCCTAAGCACTCATTGTCATTCACCTCCAGGCGAGGTGGAAACAGATGTTGGAAGGGAGAGGAGTTGGGAGAAAACAGGCCTGATTCCCATCTCATTCCCTCCTCCATCGCTTAGATCTACATCCAGACCACTACACTGACTGTGTCCTTGAGCCTGAGTGCATCGGTGTCCCTCGGCATGCTCTACGTGCCCAAGACCTACGTCATCCTGTTCCATCCAGAGCAGAACGTGCAGAAGCGGAAGCGGAGCCTCAAGGCAACCTCCGCTGCGGCTGCCCCACCCAAGGGCGAGAACGTGGAGAACCCCAAGTAGCAGGGTGGTGGGTGAATGGGGCTGGCTGCTCTCTCTTCTCCTCTGCCTCCCACTTCCTAGTGGGAGCTGTAGAGTCTGGGTCCACAGTGAACAATCAGAGGCAGAGAGTTCATGAAGCCCATACCCAGCATGGATGGGCTGGCCTTAAGAAAGAACTGGAGCCTCACTTCACGTTTGAGCTCTGCTTTTCTATGTATGTTGGCTTCCTGCAGATCAGACTTTCTACGCAAGGTAGGAAATAGTCCCTGACAGAATTCTACCTCTAGAGAGGGACTAAACTCACTCTCTGGTTTGAAGTTCCGAGATTATGATTAAGCCCCGGGGCTTGGCCCAGTTTGGGTGAGGTTTCCACTCCTCAAACAACCACCGTAACCTGAGGACTGCGCATTGCATAAGACCCTGTCAATCCCAGGATGAACTCCAGGGTTGGAGTTAAGGGGAAGCAGTCTCCAATGAGAGGACACCTATGGGTCTGTACTCGGCCTGAGTAACTTGGGCTCCAGTAATACTCTGCTCCTATAGAGGGACAAACCCTGGGGAGAGAGGCCTGTGAGCAGAGATGGAACTGCGGCAGACAGCAAAGTGAGCCAAGAAATTGGTGCACACTTCCCGTGGGATCTTTTCCCGTGTACACTCCCTTAAATTGCCCAACCTTAAGAAATTCCAGTGCACTTCTGTGGGTTAGTGGTGTGAGGAACAGGATGGTATTTGCTGCCCTCTGATGGCTGTGTGGGGTTGTGTTCAGGAGGTCCTGCTTGGGACCAATGACAAGAGTTGTCTCTAGGGTGAGGACTGATTGCAAGCACATAACATAGGATGAACACAAACATGTTTCTTTCCCAATATTTTCTGGGAGGTCGTTTTGGAAAGGTGAGCATGAGGAGTGGGGAAGAAGATGCCTGGAGTACAAGAGACATGAGCGTTTAGTTTCTGATACTGTTTAAAAACAGCTGGGTTTCAGTTATGGAACTTTGTTTCCCTGGGGGTAGAATTTACATGTATTAAGTTGACTTTGGTTTACCATGGATTCTCTAGTATTTAATGCCTGGAACTAATTTGTCCACACTAAAAAACACTTCATGCAGATTCTCTGATGCACCATGAGTTTTGACCTTGGGACTAAGTGATTCTGCGTTCTGAAATTAACAGGGCTTCTCTTCAGAATAACATTTCAGGTGTACAGATTCTCCTTTCTTACTTTTGTTGTGTTCCATAGTGTGAATTATGAAGTTTCATTTATTGCTGTCAAAATTCATTTTGTAGGACTTCTTTCCTGTGTGGGTTACCTCATGTGTGATGTTTTCTTGGTAAGATCTTTGATAGGGTTTTGTTTTCCTATATTTTTAGAGTAAATGAGCTCTGATCTCCAAATGAAGTTTTCCTCAACTGTTTCTTCCAATATAAATTCTCTGATGGACTGAGTTTTGACTTCTAGTTTTTTCTTCCCCTGATATTGGGGCACTTTGTCATTGAGCCCTTTAATTTTTTATTTTGAGACAGAGTCTCACTAAGTTGCCAAGGCTGGCCTTGAACTTGAAATCTTCCTGCTTCAGCCTCCTGTATACACTTTAAAACATGTTTTTTTGGTGAGGTTTTCCCCATTCTAAACTCTGTGACTTAAAGTTAGAATGACTTCTTAGTAAAAGTATTTTCATGTTGACTGCACTTTTAGAATTACTCCCCAATGTGAGATGTTTCTTATTTATTCTGGCTTCTGGCCAAAGATTTTCACATACTCCTCACCGTCATCCTCCCTGGCTCTATGATGGTAATTGTTTTTTTTTCCCTAGGTGCTGGGGATGGAACCCAGGATCTAGTGCATGCTAGACAAATGCTCTACTTGTTGAACACTGAACAATGCCCCAGTCCCTGATGGGAACTCTCTGAATGAGTTCTCGCTTCCTCTGTGGGCTCTGTCACATGCAGTTTACTTGCAGGTTATCTCCACAACATGAACTATTTTGTGTACTGTGGGGCATCCTCTATTATTAAAGGGGTTCTCATATTTAGTACATTCATGGGGTTTCTCTCCTTTCAGAACTCAATGCACTTCAAAGGGATAATTTCTATTAGAGGGCTTTTCCGTATTCAGTGTATATAAAATTTCTTCCTTTCATCTTTGTGTGTGTGTGTTTGTGTGTTTTCACAGGAGGACTGACAACACCATAAAGATTTCCCCATAGTTTTTTGCTGCCTAGTTTTGAATTCCCTGATGTTCAATCAAACTAACTCCTGAATAAAGTTGCATTTTTTTTCAAAGTATGGTTTCCCTTCTGTTGAATAAGAGCTGAGTTATAACCTGAAAGCTTTTTCTTATCATTGCCCTTGAATTATTTCTCCCAGGTATAAATTATGTTCTAGTGAAAGCGGAGTTTTGGATTAGAGGCTTAGTCCATATTTATCACAATTAGGTTTTTCCTCCAGCACGAGTTCTCCAGGGCAAAATAAGATTTCATCTTGATGCCAACTTTACCCACCATAACAACTTTATCTAGGGTCCTGAGAGCTTTTTAATATTAATTATGTTCTTAGACTTTCATCAGTGTGAATTTTGGGACACATTTATTACACAGTTTTGTCACATTTATTGTATTTTTTGTTCCTTTGAAATTTTTATATATTGAAGTCTCTTTTATGAGGGCGCTAATCCCCTTCATGAGGGATTAGAGCCACTTTCCTTGACCTAATCATCTCCCACAAGAATCACCTCCTAACACAATCACATCAGAGGTTGGGATCTCAACACTGAAATTTTGGGGTGACACAACATTAAGTCTATAGCAACTGCGGTGGAGGATACTAACTAGTCCTCTGCTTCCAGTATCTGCCCCCTCTTATTCATCCTACATATGAATCAGAATAGTTGTTCCATGGCACATGTTGCTGTGACCAATTGCTGTAGTCCCAGTCCTCTCCTAGCACCACAATCTGGTTGTGATTCATTCTAATATTTAGCTATACTAAAAAAAAAAAAAACCACACAGAAATAGCAGGAAGGATACTTTAATCTAGGGGATTCTGGCCCCAGGTATAGTTCACTGATATAATATGCTGGATTAAGTACTCTCAGGTTATTCTACCAAAGTTCATGAATATTGAATTAATTTGTAGTGTCAACCTCTGAGTTATTTTTCCCATTGTGATTTGACAGGGGAAAATCAGTCTCCTTTGCCCCTGCTAATCTATACTTCCTTAACTCAGCTTTCACATCTTGAAGTCGTATTATATGATGGTTGAGACTTCTTGAGATCAACTCCAGCTCTGCTGCTCACTAGCCAGGTGACCATGGGCAAGACCATTCACCTCTCTCACAGTTAGTCAGCTTCCTTAATGATCCCTGCACAGATGCCCCAGCCACCACTCTCACATATCCCCTGACTCCCAGTTCCACCACACATCATGCATGGAGACCCCACTGATTAATCAAACCTCACAGCTGAGCAGGTCCAGGACTCAATCTCATACCCAAGGGCTCCCTAATCACAGACTCCCACTGACTGCTCATTCATTACTATTCCATAAGTATCTTTGGGTGCTTATTCAGTGGACTAAACAGAAAAAGCTTATTTCCTTCAAGGGACTTAAACCTTAGTCATAGGGACAAAGAATGAACAATGTACAATATGAATTAATAAATCACATAGTATGTTAGAAGGGGACCAGCACTGTGGAAAACGGAACAGAAGAGTAGCCTAAGTAGATGAGAAACTAGAGGGACAGGCAGCAAGTTTGACAGTGTCCAGAGGAGGCTTCAGTTCAGAGGTGAGGAGTCATCCATGGGGATCTTTGGGGATGGGGGCATCCCGCAGATGTAGTAGTGAGTGCAGAATCCCCAGAGTCGGGGTATGCCTGGTGTGTTTGGGGATTCAACAGAGACTGGATGGCGTAGGTGAGGGAAGGTGAGATATCAGTCATGGTTCTCCAGAGAAATAGAACCAGGAGGATCTACCTATCTACATTCTATCTATCTATCTATCTATCTATCTATCTATCTATCTATCTATCATATCTGTCCATTTTGTGCTAGTGTAAGAGAATATTGCAGACTGGATAATTTATAAAGAACAGAGGTTTATTTCTAAAAGTTCGGGGAATTGGGAAGCCCAAGGTTGAGAGGCCTGCATGTGATATGGGCTTTCTTGCTGCCTCATCCCATTACAGAAGGAAGAGGGCAAGAGGGTGACCACAAGTGGGCTGAACCCATCCATTGATAACTGCCCCATGAGCACAATAATGGCATTAATTCAATATAAGGGCAGAGCCCACTTAACTTAATCACCTCTTAAGGCCCCACATCTCAACACTGTTATGTTGAAGATTCATTTTCCAACACATGAACACATTCAAACTAATGTATACACATAATGTAAAGTGATATCTTTTAAGAAATTGGCTCACAATATTGTAGGAGTTGGCAAGTCTGAAATCTGTAGGGCAGGCAGAAGACTGGAAGCTCAAGCAGGAATTGATGCTGTTGCCTGGAGGCAGAATTTCTTCTCTGGGAAACCTCATTTTTTTGCTGCTGAGGCCTTCAACTGATTGGATGAGGCCTACCATATTATTAGGCATAACTCCTTTGTCTTAAATCAACTGATTGGAGATGTTAACCCTGTAAGGTCAGGCAAGAAGCAGCAACCAAAGGAGGAAGATTTAAAAAGGCCACTGAACAAGGCGTTATTGAGACTCACTCCTGAGCGGAACTCTTATCAGACTGACAGAGTGGACAGGAGAAGGGTCTGAGGAGAAGCCTGGTGGCGGGGGTGGAGGGAAGGGGGGCCGCTCCACAGGACTGGAATTTTATGGGGCTTACGACAGGAAGGGAAGGGCTTGGGACAGGAAAGGGATTTTTAGAGTCCCTTGTCCCAATGGAGTTGGTCAGGGGAACTGGCTGAGATCCAGGATTGGCCAGGAGACCTGCTGATTGACAGGCAGTACTATAGGTGCCAGATTGATGTTTCTTTCACGCCAGAGGGCTGCTTGGTGCTTTGTTCCTAAGTCACCACCAACAACCTGACAAACCTCATCTATAAAACACCTTCATAGCAGCACCTAGATTAGCATTTTATTAAATAACTAGGTGCTATAGCCAAGCCAGTTAATACACACAGACTAACATATGAGGAAATGGGAACATATGTGCAGTCCCCACAGGCCATTATAGGTATGGGACTTCCTTTTACTGTGAGATGAGGAAA